AAGATCCTAGACCGAGACCGGACTCTTATATCTTCGGACTGTTGGCGTTGCCGACCCATTTATTCCGGGCTCGTGTGTGTGTGTTGTATACACGCTTAGGCATCATGCGCAGAAACAATTTCGGGCCGGTTCGGGCTTCATCAAAAAACGTTCTATTCTAGTTACCGAGCAATTACTAACAACAAAGCAGCATGTTTTAGCACAAGAGTATGGCTACAAGCATGCTACCCTATCATGGTGTAAATTACTGGGTATGAAGTCAAACGAATTTAGCAATCAGTGGTCACTGGGACTATGACGCTATGTTATTTAAATCATCTACTGCATATGGTCTTCACTTCTTCTCCGGGTCTTTCGGGGGCGGGCATGGCAGGTTCTGGAGTATCAAGTACAAATAGGTATCAGATCATGGGTACGACGTCAGTACTGGCCAGTCCAGCCAGCGTGACTACTACTACGGGTATATTTAAACACTCAGAATCTCTATCTGCCATGTGTCATTGACATATTTGAGGTATTGTGGCACACGCAAGAGAATGAGACTTAGCCAACTCTTGATTGGCAACAACAATTCATTGATCTTGTAGATTCGAGTCGTATTTTTGGAATATCTTGTAGAGTTTTTGTAGTTCCGAGTTGTTACCAATGCACAATTGATACTGCTGGGCATCATTAGCCTAAAGCATCAAGTTTGAAGCACGCTTAAACTTCATATGAGTACATGTACAAGCATTGCATCATCAGCACTCGTTCAAGTTGTTTCATTGCATAAGTGTAGCATAAGCTATCAGGCCCCTCAGAAAATTCCGCGTCATGTGGGCTCAAAGTGGCCAGAGTAGTATGGTTCGACAACTAGACGGCTAATCACACCAACTTTGGTCACCTGGTGAACGGGAGGCTCTCCAAGCGCAGCGTACTAAGCGATCAATGCGACAATGATGGGGGCCCAGTCCTCACTGACATGGAACGCTCATGCAAATCTGATTGAAGATAAGGAATGTGCCTGGCATTTAACCGACTTTGCAGCCCGCCAGCCAATCAGCAACCATAACGTACTTACTTTGAGCATATGAAGCCTCCAAACTCCCGAGGGCCAATCTTCCGAGGGTCGATCTCCCCTCTACACTGCCGACTAATACCAACATTTGATCACAGCACACAGCCTTCTTCCTTCATGCAAACGAGCAAGTTCGATCAAGTTTCTACCGTCCGCATACCCAACCTACCACATGCTCGGTTGGAGTACATGTCAAAATGGACAATCAAGCTCGGGACGGTTTTTCAAGCGTTATTGACCAGGGTCCTAACTCAAACCTTCAGAATCAATCAAATCTTGTTGCTCGATTTTCTGTCTCCCTTTTCTGAGTGTGCTTGCAGTGCCAACACTGTCGCCCGGTCAGAACTTATCGGGGTTAAGAAGCCAAGCTGAGCAGCAAATGCGAGTTAGACACAACAGGCAAGTGACATGGAGACGCAACGGTTGCGCAGCATGTCCAAGATTTGAAAGAGAAATTGCACGTCAGCAACAAAGCAATCTGTAGTAAACACAGGCTGACTTTGGAAGAGCCTGCGACGTTACTCAAAACAGCGCACAGTGAGGATAGAAAACTGCGGAGAGGCTCGTCGATGGAGAACCAAGTTGACGAGCCCCTCAAAGGTGAACCGGCTGACTGGACGAGTCCCGCGCACCGGCTCTCAAGCAGAAGGAAGCAACTTCCGGTTGTTACAGTTAAAGTCTTCGCTTTGAGAACCCAGCTTTTCACGACTGCTCAAATTAAACGGTTGAAGTTAAGGTCGGTCATAATAAAGACCATGTAAGTGATTCGGGCATCTACAAGAGGGATGCACCATCCAGATTCAAAGGGGCCGAATCCCCTCGAAACCCAAACCCACTTCCTTAACCAAATGTCTGCAAACAGCAGTTCCCTTTGCGTGTATCAAGTCCTCCAAAACCGAGAAGCCGCCTCAGGCCAAAACACAGCAGATCATTAGCACTCGTTCCTTCTCCACTCAAAGACCGTTTCCCGCTCCATACATCTTCGCACAGCGTCTTTCAGGACCGCCAAGAGAAGAAGCATCTCTGTGGCGTGGAAGGAAGCGCAAACTGAGCACTTATTCTGCTACCGGGCAGGCCTATCGAATCTCGCCATCCTCGCTGTCCAGTTCGCCATCCTCCCGGTTCTTCTCCCCGCCCTCCGCACGGCCCCCGCCCGCGTCCCCGTGCCGCGACCGGTGCCACTTGTGACGCCCCTCGCCCTCCGACTCGCTCCCGTGGCCGTGCTGAAAACACAAAACCAATATCGTATCAAAACAAACCTATGATAAGAAAGATCAGACTTTGTAACGATGATCAAAGGTCGTTAAACGCAACGTGCGAGCTTGAAAGTACAGCTCGTATTTAGAATTACCGGATCAGAAAAGAGCCGCTAGCTAGCGTTCTCCATGCACGCATTTCTTGCGGAAGAAGGTTAGCAGCCATCCGACAGCGACATTTCGTTCTACCCAGCACGTTCGAGGCGGGCCAACACAACTCTGAGCACGATCACTTCGGTTAAAGAGTGCGTCTCTGTCGGCCGGCAGCCGGGATGTTAGTTTCGGCGTATTTCCAGCGCTCCTCAGACGAGAAAATAACAAACAAACGCAAGAAAAGACCGGCATTCGCCCCGTCCACATCATGTTCGCAATACAAGCCCGTGCGGACGGCACAACATAAGAACAAGAGACAGGAGCCCAGAAGTTATGATCCAGGCGCCCTGCTATCGGCCATGACTCCCGCTCCTTGCATTAATACCTAGGATAAGTCGGCAAACGACGACCGCAATAAGACACGCAGATATCCACACTCACCTTCTTGGCGCTCTTCTCCTTCTTCTCGTCGCGGCTCTTGTGCCGGTGCTTCCGCTCCTTCTCCCCCCCCTCCTCCGGTTCTCCGCTCGCGCTCCGATGCCGCTTCCGGTGCCGCCTTTCCCGGCGCCGCTCCTCCGACTCGTGTTCCTTTTCGGGGGCGTCCGCGTCCTCCATCTTGTAGTCTTCCTCCGGAGGGGGGGGGACGTCGCGCTCCTTTTCGCGTCCCCGGTGCTCCTTCTCGCGGCCGCTGCGGCCCTTGTCGCGCTTGCGCTCGCGGTCCTTGTCCTTGTCTTTCTCGTGGTCTCGCTTGTGGGACTGCAGGGGAGAAAGCTTGTGTGAAGGCCTGAACATCTAGCGACATCAGGGAAGTCTTATGTTTTGTTTCTTATGTTTTGTTTCACGTCTCTTGTTAGTGAATGGAGGTGGTGCTTGAGACCGGGCGTATTTTACAGTAGCGTATTTTACACAGGAAAGCACGCAGGTAGGAGCTTGTGTGTTGTCGTGATCGTCCAGGGACCCTCAAAAACAGTTTGCAAGCGCTTTCAGGGCGTTAGGTCTTCCTAGCAGAGCTTCGAAGCGTCCGTGCATGACCATATTCCCAGATTAAAGGAAGGGAGATATAAGAAGTTTGGCGCACGAGACAGCGAACAATGTCCTTCTATGCCATCACTCTGAAAGCTCGACTCGAGCAACGCAGTCAAGCGTCTTAGCAGGGTGTCGCTCCTCATTCTTCTCTTTTGAGATAAGAAGAGAGCCACGGACACAACTTACAACCATGACCCCTCAGCATCTGCCCCAAAGCTGCTCACAGCTAAAATCTCAGTCCTCACCTTGTCCTTGTCCTTATCCTTGTCGTCCTTCTCGCGGTGGCGCTTCTCCTTCTCCTCCGCCTTCGCCTTCTGGCGGGCCAAATACTCCTCAAAGATGCGGACGCGGTCCGGCTCCTCAATGAGCCTGCCGAAAACAGCACCCCGTGTCAGATATCACTGGAACGTTTTCAAGTCTCGGCCAACATAGTAGAAAGCGAGGCAACTGAATTTCGTATCTAAAGCAGCTTCTCAGATGCGCCAAAAGAGGTCCTTGACCCACAATTTGCAGCTACGATGGCTTATGCATCAAATGGCTTATGCATCGTTGAGTCCTGCTGACTACAAGGTAACCCCAATCTCGTGCCCCAACTCCTTATTTCGCGGAGGCTCGTTCCGAAGTCAGCCAACGTGCATGCGACAATCCTCTGCACTTTATCGTTCGAGCAGCATTTCTCGCATCCTGGCAGGACGCCAGCTTTTACGACATGATTGGGGTGGAGGAAGGAATAACGGCGGCTCACGCACTTGTACGCAGGGTCTTTCTCGACCAGCGGCTTCAACTCGGCCCACGTAGAGTCGACATACACGGCCTGCACGTGCCAAAAAGAGCACGGATTTGACACGTGGCAAGAAAGCGGACACACGTTTGACACGTGGCAACAGATTGGGTCCATTGAGAGGAGTTTGGCAGCAACTCATTCAGCACCTCTACTTCCTCCGACGTTTCGATGCTCATTTAGGATCGGACGGTCTATTGAGGCGGCAACTTGTCGTGGACCTTTGTAGGAAAAGGATGCAAGGGCTTTTCGATTTCAAGAACCTATTTCACTTCCGATTTCCAGGAAATTTCCCGTGGCCGAACAGACTGACCCTCCGGCTTTGCATATCGGGCCCAACTACACTGAAAGGCAGACTTCCGCTCTTTAGCTAATCTGCAAGACTGATCCTCTACTTTTTGGACCGTGCAGATAAAACGAAGGGGTCCAATTTGTGTTGAGCACTGCCATCCGCTTCACGCTCCCTGATCGAAGCGCAGTCACCATTTTTTGACCTACAATTTTTTGTGAACCCCAAGATGCGCGAGAACGAGCAAGTGAAGATGAACGTGCTGCGGCACTCACTCTGGTGGCACGCAGGGCCTCGACAAAGTCCTCGTCGAGGCGCTTCCTCTTCTTGACCTCTTTCTCCTCCTTTTCCTTGGCGCGCTCCAGCAGATCCTTGAAGATCAACTGCGCGGAATGAAGCAAAACAATCAGCTGTCAGCGCAAGCGCTTTGGAACAAGATGCGACCGAATCACCAGAAATGCGGAACAGAGCGGCATTAACCATGCACACAAAATACAAGCAGGAGCAGTCGAGCACAACACGAGAAAAAGCAGATGAAGCATGGGTGACAGAGCATCGCTTGTCAGACTGGAATTCAAACATGCAGAATGCAAGATATGCGGCGTTCTTGCACTAAATGAAAAAGGACTCGCATCACTGGTGACTTGAAGAACGGTTTCGGAAGAAAGTTTCTAAGAAAGAGTAGCCTGTCTGCTGGCCCTTCCACCCCTGGGTAGTGGTCGTGATGTCAGCAGGGGCGCAGGATGACGCGGGGGGCGTACCTTAAGGTTCGTTTCTGAGATGGCCGCCAAGTCACCTGCTTGCGCCACCGCAGCCTGGAAGTCGCCGAACTCGGTGGCCGACGTTATTTTCAGCGCCACCGCCCCCTCCTTGAGCGCGTCCTTCACCTTGGCCTTCTCGTCCCGCAGCTGCAAACGCACGTCCGTGATTAGGGTTTTGATCTCTGATCTAAACGAAGTTTTCTAAGTTGGATTCAGTGCCTGTTAATAAAGAACGATAAGACTTACGTCCCATACTTCAAACACCTGTCGATTTTTCTCATTTAAACGTTCCGTTCCCACCCCCATCGCACTATCACCAGCACAAAGGGCTCTGACGGGCGAAGTCGCCCTTCATATGAGAGCGTTCTTGACCTTGGCCTTGTCGTCACATAGCTGCTAAGATATTTCAAATCAGCGCAGTCAAAGTGTCGGTTTCCATGCTGCAAGAGGCTTTCAATCGGGCACGTAGCTTGGTCACATCACGTCTTCCGACCCTTTCCTCGTGTGAACGAACGGAAGAGGTGTGCGCAAGTTTGCTTTACCTCGAACTGCCTTCGGAACTGCAAAGAAGTATCCATGACCACCAAGGCCGCTTCCGAAACCAGCACAGCTTCAAAGTGCGCAAGAAGACATTCTGAAAGCAAGAAACGAGGACAGGAAACCAGAACCGCCTGCCGGAAATCAAAGGCAAGCTCGGAGGCAGCGCACCTGGGTCGTAAGCTCTTCGATCAGATCCTCGAAGAGCTCCTTCGGCGTCGATCCTCCTGCGTTCCCCGCAACTGCTGCATAGGCGGGGGCCTCCTTGACCTGAAATCAAACAAGAAACGCCTTGGTCAGAAAGACGGTCCTAGAAACGTTTCGGGTTACACTACAGATCGGATCCTTGCCATTGCTTGCTCACACTGCAGAAGAGAGGTTCGCCAGATTATAGAAGGACAGTAATTGGAAGGGTCCTTGGGCAGATCAATCTCAGTTTGCAAGTAAAGAGAACAACGAACATGGAAATTATGCTTCACGGCAAAGCTGCGCTTTCTAGGGGACTGATGTCTGTCGGTATAAGCTGGCAATGTCCAAGTGGCGCAGAGCCTTGGCTTTCCAGGTGGTCTCTCTACACAACCTTCGTAAGAGGCAGCTGGCCACCTTAGAATGGTCAGGACAGTAAGCTGGCAATCAGAGACGTAATCTGATTCCGGAAACTAAGCTGGCAGTCCTCCAAGTATGCTTGTGCTTTGCCTTGTGCAGGTCATTCCCACTTCATCTTTGCAGACAGCATTCGGCTGGCTCCATTGATAGATATAGATTCTCACAAAGACGACATGCTTGAACAAGAAACGCGCAGACACTACAGATTTGCCAATCACAGGCGACTTGCGGAGCCCTTAAACTCTTACCTTCTCGAGATAGTCCTTCCACTTGGTCTTGGCCGACAGCTCCCCTGCTGCCTTATGCTCGTTCATCAGGTCCCGGAACGCGTCCCGGTTCTTGCGCTCCTGGCGCCTCTTTTTCTCCTTCTCTAGTTGCTTCACCTCCTCCTCCTTCTTCTCCAGGTCCCGGATGTACTCCTGCAGAGAAAAAGCCACGCTTGAGAACGCCTGGCCGTCACTTGGCAATACGAATCTTGCAGTGCGTCAGTTGACTGTCTTCGCTTTGTCTCCAGTGCACTTGTTGCTAGAGACAACGCGCTTCGCCGTGTATTCAGCACGGCGGAATGACTGACAGTCGACCCTGTTGCCGACGACCTCGCATTGCAGAGACGGGCTACTCGGGTCAATCGAACAACAAAATGTGAAGCATATGCAGGGAACGGCCTCCCGGTTACTGAGCACCTCGGAAGAACCTAGACTCGGAACCCTAATACTTCGAACTCAAAACCCTCTGCTATGCGTCCAACTAGAGAAGCAACCAGAACTCACCGTGAAGACGTCCATCTTGTCGACCCGCTCCAGCTTAGTTGCGCTCTCGTCCTCCTCAAGCTTGTCAGCCACCTTCCTCCACGGCGTGGTAGACTGCAAAGGGGTGAGGCGTTAGCGCAACGTGATCTCATTGTTCCAAAACCAGGGTTTTCTAGGTCTTCATGATTGACTCCGCTGCCGACTCGGACACCAATAATCTGTTCGAGCTCGATGCGAACGGCCTGTCCACTTGCTGAGGGAAAGATCGCATTGTAAAACGCTACTTGAGTTTCGTGCTATTTCTGTCAGAAAGGAAAGCCAAGACCAGCTTTTGTAAACAACGACGCCATCTCAGATGCTACAATATCAATGATAAAAGACCACGTTGATGAAGTGGCACGTCCTGACAAAGACCCGGCAAGCGTCTATGTGGCTATACCTTACTCGGTGTCTTGCTTCGTCGTTCTATTCGCTTCCTGTCTGGTAGGACAATCCTACCTTGATGAAGTCGCACGTCTCAAGGAAGGCCCGGAATGCGTCCATGTGCTTCTTGCGCTCGCGCTTCTTCTCCTCTTTCTCCTTCTTCTCCAGGTCCAACAGATAATCCTCGAACATGTCTTCCCGCTCGCGATCATCCTCGAGGGCCTTGAACCGCGGGTCGTTCTCGAACATCACCACCGCTTTGCTGCGGGGGGGGAGAAACAAGGGAACGCTTGGGGGGGTGTCCTGGACATTTCTCGGGAACGAGTCTGAGCGGACCGTTCAACATCACAACCGCCTTGCTGCGGGAGCGCAGGACAAGGGTAAGTCTGGGGGTAGTATCTCGATTCTTTTCCAGAACCAGACTGAGCGGTTTCACCATGGTCTTGCTGACCGGCAAAGGTGATACAGGGGAACTTTAGAAGGAGGGCCGGAACTACCTCCTTCAATCACGTACAATGAGGTAAGCGAAAGGGGACAATCTGAAAGCCTGAATCTTGCCCACTTGTATCGCCTTAGTGAGCACCTGGGGTCTTCCTCCCATCACAGAAGCTGATCCTTCTGAGAAGCCCAGGAGTTCTTCCTCGAGGTTAGACAAGCTAGCTTTCGGTCTAACAGCAATTGGGGGCTTTCCCACCGACGCATCACGAGAATCTAGAGTACTTATGAAGCCCAGGTTATGAAGGAACAATTCGCCCAAGACGGGTTGGGTTATCAAGGAGCTTCAAAGTCGGCACGGGTGCGGAGCAGGAAACTGTTTCAATTTAGGATTTCGTGTGAAGCATCGTTCTTGTAAGAGACTACAAATGTCGTCCAGGTAAATGGTTCGATACAGACATTTCAGGTTAAGCATCGTTCTTTATAGGATTTAAGAACATAATCCACTATTCTAATAAGCTATCCTCACCTCCAGCGCGTGGTGGCGGTGAGGAGCGTGGACGTCTGCAGCATGGTGAGAAAGTCCTCGCGCGCCTTCTTCTGCCGCAGCCGCTGCTCCTCCTTCTCCGCCTTCTTCTTCTGCGTCTGGTACTGCGCACACAAAGAAACAGCGAAATAAGAAGCTGGCAAGCATCAAACTAAATGACGGTCAGCTGCTCCTCCTTCTCCGCCTTTTTCTTCTGCGTCTGGTACTGCGCAAACAAAGCGGAATTTCGTGAGATTGTAAATGATACGCAACAAAAGAGTGATCGAGCCTGCCCGTCATAGCAAAAAAACCGTATTTGGTGTGCTTTCTCCGCCTTCTTCTTCTGGGTCTGATACTGCGCACACGAGAAGGGGCCAGCGTCGGAGCGTTAAAAACATTGCGACAAAGCAGGTGGCCAAATAAATGAGCATTCGCCTGTAAGTTCTGCCGGTCTCTCCGCCGTGTTCTTCTGGTACTTAGGACACGACAAAAGCGAAGATGATACCTAGCAGAGCAACAGAGTACGTCTTTGTTCACGGATCAGCGGATTGGCGGATCGGTCACTCCTCCTCCTCTTCTTTCTTCACCTGCGTGTGGCACTTGATGTGGAGCGAAGTGAGATTCTGGAGAGATCCTTTGCAACATAATATGCCTTCGAAGGCAACAGTGAAGACAAGTAATCAGCCCCAAAAAACTTGAGTAGCACTTCGACTTTATGAACAACTTGTGACTCATCGCAAGATGGAAAAGCAAGAAGCTGGGTGTGGGCCACGTTGAACTGCGCTGCCACGTGTGACTGTTGAATAAGTGCCATACTAGTTGAGCGCCCTTTCTCAAGTGAGAACAGGAAGAACCTTCTCCAGGTCATCAGAACAGCACACCGACCCCACACGTCCGACTACAGAACCGAGCAGGGAACTGTGAGCTTTCAAAGAAGGAAATCCCACTCCGGAGTTCAGCTCGGCAACATCCAAGTCCCTCTTTTTTTGGGAGCACGCTTGCAAATCGTTCAAAGATTGAAAGAACTGCGCTTTTCGAGTTACCTCGTTGAAGGCCTGCTTCTTCTCGCCGAGCGTCTTGAGTGCCACGTAGCGCTTGTCAGTGATGATCTTCTTCATCGCCTGCTCCCACGTCCAGTCCAGCCCGATCTTCTGCGACTCCAGCATCTCCTTGAACGCATTCTTGGCGTCCTGCACGGGAAAGGACGTGCATTTATAAATTCAAATTCAGAGAGTTTATTCAATGTCGAAAGCTTTATTGCAGTTGCAAGCCTTGAAATTTGCTTTCGCTTGTAGAAGCTTCCGAGTTGGCAAGGATTCAAAATCTCAAAGCCAAGCAAACAAACTTCGGCTGTATAAGGAGGCGGACACTGCTATCAACGTAGATAGCAGGCAGTTATATCCGAAGCTTTTTACATTTGCGCTGGGGCGGTGTAAGATGCTGGAACATTTACCCCTGCTGAGCTGCTGCTACGAGCGACACTTGCAAACGACTACTGGAGCTCAACCGTACAACCTGTTCTTCAGCTCAGGACACACCAAGCCGGACTTTGCTACGTTTTCTACAACAGCCAGCAACACGAAGGAGGTGAATATTTGCAGGAGCGATCAAAACGTTACCTGCTTGTTAGCGAACACCAGAGGCTCGTTCTTGAGGGTCGGCTTGACCTCCTCTGCGGGGGTAGTGTTGATCTTCCCCACAACGGGCTGCGCCTTCTTCGCTTCCTGCCAGAGGAATGGGAGATGGGGAATCAGCAACAATAAACCTTTTTGTACCAGAATCAAAAGGAGAGTGCGTTTAACCGCCAGGAAACCGTGCACACATGCACCTTGTAACGAGTGCGCTGCTCATCCAACACGAAACACGTTCTCCGAGCAACATTACTCTTTCGGCAGCCAGAAACGGGTGCTTATGAGCCAGGTCAAAAGCCGCCACTTGTCAACCGGCTCATCTTTTGCTCAGATGTGGCCAACGCGTACACAAGGAAACCGCAGAGGGTATACATTCAAAGACCCGCGGCCTTCGGCCCCCGCTAGCAAACTTTGCGACCCGTTCTGCATCTTCATCCGCAGATGCCCTTGACCTGCGTCTCAACGTGCAGATCGACCTTACGAACAACCTGCAGTTCGGTCTGCGTCTTAATCCGCAAAGAGACCACAACCTGCTTCTCAACGTGCAAATCGACCAGCCTCGCTCACCTTCAGATTCTCAGCGGAGGCGCGCCCATTGACCGACACGCCATTCCCGGCCTGCTCGGGCGTCGGGAGCATCGGCGCGGGAGACAGCGCGGCCGGCGAAGCGCCAGTGAGCGGGGTCACAGGAGACGGGACGTAAGGCGCCATGGCGGGAGAAGGGGACATGGCCGGGGGAGGTCGGAAGGCAAGGGACGCACCGGGACCTGAGAGGGGTAAACTCGTGTCTGAGCCAACGGCACTCGAAGATATCATGGTGTGAAGACAGGGTGAGATTGACAAGGCGGAACTGAGAAGGCGTGATATAAAAAACATGCCACTTGAAAAGGGTGGCTTGACTCCTGCAAGTGCTCTACTTACGTATCAACAACCGTACGACTGCAAAACCATGGGTAATGCAAACAACCTCTGGGACTACAAACAATCTCTACGACTGCAAACAAAGACTACGACTGCAAACAAACTTTCAGGACTGCAAAGAAGCTTTAGAACCGCAAGCGAAATTTGAACCGCAAGCAAAAACCGAGTCCGCAAACAAAGCCAAGTCCCTCACCCGCCCCCAGGGGCGGTCCTCCCACCGCCGCCGCCTGCGCTTCTTTCGCTGCCTTCAGGTCCTCCGGCAGGGTCCACGTGGACAATTTCGTGATCTTGTTGAAGTAATACGTGCGCCCGTCGGGGTTGGTGTGCTCCTTCCAGATGTTGAACGGGTTCTTGAGCTCCTCGGGCGTCATCATTTCGAACGGCTTCTCCCACACGGACTGCTTCGTCACCTTGTTGAAGTAGTAGGTGCGCCCGTTGGGCGACTTATGCTCGGTCCAGAGGGCCGCGCCGGCGGGGGCCATGCCGGCAGGAGGGGCGCCGGAGGGCTACAGGAGTGCACAAACGACGTAAGCATAGCTTGCATAGTCCCGTGATTGATTCATGGAGCTGGACGAGGGCGCGGGGGAGGGCTGTAGTAGTGCATATTGAAGTGAGGATTCAGTGGACAATCCGATCCAATCAAGTTTATGACTGGTGGAGTCCAAGAGATTTGGCAAAGGTCTAGGCAGATATGCTCAATGAGCAGCAGCGGGAGAAACGTTCGAAGTGGCGGTATTGTCAGGAATGACATCGAAACCACCGACCGGGGTCGAACAGGTGCGCCAGACAAGGGCTCGAGTAAAGAAGCACAATCAAACTTCTCAGCCAGGTGCAATCATGGTTCATAAAGTGCGCTTCTTTGGAAGGACGTTTCTGCGGAGGCCAGCATAACGGCCCAAAGGTGTTCTTTGTAAGGCAACATCCGGCAAGCCAACCTACGCAAGGTCTCCTAAATGAGGTTCCAGAAAGTATGGCTTTGCCAAAATGTACGAATAACAAGATGCTCGTACACAACAACTCCGGCAGGGAACTCACCGGCGCACCGGCTGTTGGCGAGAACGACCCGGGAGGGGCCCCTGGGGAGCCCCCGAGGAAAGGCGGCCTCGCTCCCTGAGGGAAGCCCGGTTGGCCGCCCGGGGGAGCGCCGCCTGGGGGTCCAAAACCCGGTCGAGGAGGGAACTGCCAGGATATGAATCGGAGATTAAGTCATTGGGAAATCTGTGTCAGTCCCAAGTCCCCGAAGGCAGTTGACATCAGTCGGACCCTTCTCTTAGAACATGCGGCATCTCAATATATTTACCGGATCAGACGTAATTGTTGTTGAAAGATCCCAGATCATATCAAGATCCGCTAGGTTTCAGCAATTGCATTTCTTCGGGAGTTGCTAGAGGAGTCAACTCTGCTGCTAAGGGAGTCATATCGCAACCAAATTTTGCTGCGACGGTTCGTACATAAAAAGCACCTGAAAGGTCCCTGGCGGGGGAGTCCCTCCAGGCCTGGGAAGAGGGGCAAGAGAGGGGGGCGCTGCAAACCCCGATGGCCCAGGGGGCGCCTGGCAGGAAAAAGCCCGAAACAGATACGCTTTTGAACAGGCACGGTTTTGTACCTTTGTCAAATTCCACAGACTGGACAAAACGACCCACTTATGAAACCCTCTTTTTATCACACAATCTTGCGGGAGGGTTCGATTTTCAGAGCCACCGGAACCCCGTCGTTGTCAAAGATGGGCCTGTGCACAACACTGCTCTGTTTGTCAATCCTGGCGCACAAACTCTCAGTAGTATGTCATGTGGACACCGACGACTCATCCATCGTTGGGACAGCACGGAAGGACTCAGGAAAAGGGGCGACAAGTCGGGTATGACGAAAAGCCCAACAAAATAACGAAACTTTCAAGAACGGTTCCGAAACTCACCCCAGTTGGCGGAGGTCCAAGTTGTCCCGGTGCTCCATACCCTCCTGGCGCAACAGGAGGCCGAGCTCCTGGGGGATACTGGGCCTGCCCGGGGGGGCCGGTTTGGCCTGGCGGCCTGGCTGGAGGGGCCCCCGGATACGACGCACCGCCGGGATACCCGCCACCACCAGGAGCTGCGGAAGAGGGCGAAGAATTCCGGATCAAGCTGTGGCGACATAACTTGCTTGAAAAAGGGCAGCGACTCCTTACTTCAAACAGGAGAGACGGCGCACCGGTGCTTTGATGCTTCCAACCGGGTAATCTGGTTGAACCCTCTTCACAGGGAATTCGGGTTCGGTCATATGCAGGGTCAAGAAGTTGCAGCACGACTTTGCGATGCAATAGGTTTGTAACTCCTGAGGTTTGACAGCATGCTGCATTCTCAGCGATGAAGCGTCCCACTGGATACTTTGTTCGAAATATACTGAACCTTGTGATGTAAGGGCCCTGCCAAGATGCCACTGAGAAGCTAGTGCTAGCACTGGTAAACATTGAGAAACTGCAACCTCCGTCCTGTGACCTTGGACTTTATAGGCGAGCAAAGCAAGGCGCTTTGAATTTTCCGGATGCAGAACAAGGGAGACATACCGCCGCTGAAGCCCGTCGGCGGTGCTCCGAGTGGCCGCTGGAACTGACCCTGCAAAGGTGCAATGGATGTTTGATGCCTTGGAGAAATGAATCACAATGTCAATGTCGGATGGTTCGTCTGGGCAGTCTTCAAAGGCTAAGGGACGTCGACGGCTGCTCAACCGCGACGGCTGCTCGACCTCTTGCTCAAAGGCGAGCAGCAACGTACTGCTCCTCCCCAGTGTGGCCCAGTTCCACCAAGAAGCTTTTGCTGCTCAAGGAATCCCAATCACTCAAACCATGTAAGGAGATGGTGCGGAAGCCCGCGGTATATAGAGCAATTGGAGATGAGCGCACAAACTTGACAAACTCAAGGAGGAACCTTACGTTGCTTGCGAGAAGCCTGGCTGCGAGACCTATCTTTCGTTTAAGGACTTGGATCAAGCTGGCGCCAAAACCCCAATACTCCTACCGTGCCTAAATCCAATCGTCCATTGCATCTCCTGCAAAACGGGCATGTTCAGAAAAAGTGCACTGATGGTCCTACCTGGGGAGGCCCTCCTGCCGGCCCCGGTGCTCCCGGAGGACTCAGCGGGCCGCCGCCCGCTGGTGGAGGCTGACCTCCCGCGGCTGCAAAATAATTAAGAGTAAGCGTTGAAAACAAGAGTTCCTCGGATGTCAATCTGGAGGGTTGAAACTCGGTAGCACTAAGGTGCAGAACCACTAAGTTGGCAGATACCCCCAGTTTGCAACGCATCAAAACACATGGTCCTGCATTTGGAACGTCAGGGAATATGCGGAAAGAATGGGTGGTGCAAGGCAGACGCATGCCGACAACTTTTGTGCAGAGGACAAACCGATCATTACGGATCTTTGATCAGAGCGAGACGTTTTGGACCAAACAATTTCGTTTTTGGGAAGGCTCAATTGTGCGACAGGGAGCGCCACTTAAATGCACCATTACCTGCACATGGAAAGTCTATTTGCTAACTCAATACGATGCGGTTTTCACAGACTGTTGAAACAAGCAGACAAGTCTGCTCGCATAGAGTGGCATATACATTCTACCCAAACATTCCAGCAGAATCGTAACACCAGCCTCCATGAGTTTATCATAAAGACTATACCATCTGTCGTAGAGGACTAGCATACTACCCTCAGGACTGATCACCACATGCGGAGCAAATGTACCAAAAACTTACCTGTCATCCAAGCGGGCAGAGTCATGCCCCGCCCTCGTCCCGCCATCCTTCAGCGCCTCTCGCTCAAACAGCTGCTAATGCCTGCGACGCAAGGTGCCCTCAATCTTACCACTTCCTAGCACGCTTTCTGTGTCTCTAGACCACTGTGACCGCTACTTTTCTCTTTTACACAAGAGCCGCCACTTCCTTGCATCTCTCCTATGCACTGACTGGCAGCGGCCAGCCTACAGGACTGAATTCCCCTTCAAATACAAGCTTAGACTGGAATGTGGACTGTAGGTAGCTTCATTCTTGACCTAGGTCTAACCCGGTTGAGAGCTAGTGTTGGTTAACGGCAACTAACAACCAACTCTGGGAGCCAGTTGATATTATGTAACGAGATGCTAACACCAATTGATTAGTAAGGTCTTGAACTCGTAACCTTCAAATGGTTTGCGACCTTGTTAGCCTGGTAATGGCATGCTTCAGAAGCTTCTGCTGCTGGAGAGTGAACTCTGAAATTGAATTTAACAGAGGTGCAAAAAGGTCATAGAACGGAGTTGTAAAAGTGTTCACATGCATCTTTTACGCGTAAGGTAAGGTCCTTTTGTAGTG